TATATGTTTTAATTAGTAATTTTGAGTAGTATATTGCATAATATGCATTTTTATTTATTAGACAAATTATACAATAAATAAAAATATTATATAAGATTTTTATTAAAGTTACATTTTTAATTAGTAATTTTGAGTAGATTTTATTAAATTCATTAAATTAGGATACAATATAAATTTTAAAACCATTTAAACACCACTAAATTAAATCTTACAACAAATTCAATTTTACACTTGAAAATATATATATATATATATATATATATATATATTATAAATTAAAATCTTTGTTATAAAAATAACTATAATAAAATCAATTATATTAAAAAATCATCAAATTTTTTTAATATATATATTCCTAAGGCTAGTTCAATATTTGCTATAGCAACCACAATCTTTCATCTAATATATGCCATTTTTTTCAGTACCTTCAAAATCACTTGATTAAATAAAAATCAATTAATTGGATTAAAAAATTTAAACAAATATATTAAGGAGATGGAATATGCATTAGAATAAAGTTTTATGAAGTTAAAATATGAATTAAAATAAGTAAAAAAAATTGAATAGAAAATAGATCAATTTAATAAGACTATACTTTTTATTTTAGACATTAATTTCAAACTTAATTATTAAATTTTGAGTTTGATTTTGTCAATGTAACCAATCATTTGGTGAATCAAATGAGGTAGTTTTAAATATGTTTTGCACCCAAGACCTAGTGTATAATGACTAAATTTTTTAAACATAATTTTATGTTTTAACTAATCTCAATAATATGTAATATTGTAAAATATATCATGGTATAATAATGCAGATTGGAACTGGCAAAATAGGTTTTTTGTAACTTAAAGTTGACTTCACTGAGTTTAATTGTAACAAAAATTAATTGTATATATATATATATATATATATATACATATATATATATATACATATATTCATATATACTATAGTACAATAAAATATAATTTAAAAAGAATATATTAATTATTCTAAAATATAAATTTTAAAATAATTTTTTAGAGAGTCTAATGTATTTTTGTTGGATCTTGTAAAAGTGCCTTAAAAAAAATCATTTAATGTTGTCATATAATGAGATTGTATCTGCTTAGACCTTTGAATTGGAATAATAAAAGAAACATATCAAAGTAGGATCATGAAGTCACTTGAAAATGTATATTGCAAGGAAATAGCCTAAAAATGTTCAGACCTCATGTGAAGTTTTGTATCTACAAAGCCTTTGACAACTCTAGAAGCCCATGTATAATCTTTAGCAAGCTAGCTTGAGTGTCTAAAAACATTTACTATTGTACTAGACAAAATAAGATTAGATTACACATTAATATTAGATGTGCATTGCAAACTTAAAATGGTATTAAAGGGACAATTGTGACACCCATCTAGACTCATTCATCACATTTGTGGGTTCCAAAACCACTTGCGGTACTCACTCTGTCACATTTTCCATGTTTTTTTCTTTTCCACAAACCTCAGTTCTATGAAAGAAAAAGTCTGGGGCCACAATCTTACAATTTAAAAATCCAAATATTTCATAAAAAGCCAGAATAGAGTCCTACATCACCACAACCAGTTTACACATCAGACAACAAGCATTTCAGTGTCAGTTCCAAACATACATTAGATGTGGAAGTAACACCACTGCCAAGTGGGGCTCTGTTATTGTAAGGTAGGGCCAAGCTTACACAAAGGAGTTCCCCTCCTTCAAGTTGCAAGATAAAAATGCATACAATTACAAGTGGGTATGGAACATTCTACACAACCTAGATGCAGCAAAAACTTTGAGACCAAGAAGGAGTTGAAGAACGACTGTTGTGGCTGACAAACTGGGAAACCCTAAAACTAAAGCTCTCTGCTCTTGTCAAGGGAACAAGGGTCTGAGGAAGTATCTGCAAGACAATCTGCTGAGCAGGTCCTCACCAACAGGAATGACATGAGTATGAGGGAGATGACAAAAATCAAATAAAATAAAATACTGAAAATTTATTTGGGTTTTGTATGACAAATGAATGAGAGTATGAAACTGGGTCCCTGGGGATTTCTGCTTGTTTGTTTGGATATGAAGAAGTCTAAAATGAGGGATAGATGGAGATAGTTTTTGAGTGTGAGATGGTAGCTATGTAGCAGAATATGGTCCATGCAATCTCTTGTGAATAAATCAACACTTGGAATACTTCACAACTATCTCAGTTACACACCAAACCATAACCCATTCTGGTCCATTGCCATCAGCAAACTTGTTGTTCAGTCACAACACACTCTACACATTTAATATACAAATCCTTGGCTACATACATCAAATTTAGCTCATTTGAAAGCAATTCTTTTACTGTGTGTTTCTACTTCAGAAGGATTCTGAAAATCTCTCATCCTTACATACAATTTCTCCCCCACATTTTTTACTGTAGCTGTAAACAATGACAAGAAATAATAATGTTTTATAATACACAGAACATGCTTGATGGTTCAGATTCACATGCAGAGTATACATGTGTAGGTCTGTCTGTGAATGAAGATCCTCCCTACTTCCTCTTATTTCATAACACATGCCTATATATATATATATATATATATAAAGAGAGAGAGAGAGCATTCAATAAACTTTTTTTAAATATTTTTAAATGAAGAATACACTTGGGGGACTGAGGCAGGGCAGGGAGAAAAAGTAAAGAAAAGAAGGAGACATATGCCCCTCCGCCCAGAGAATCTTAATTTCCCTCCACCCATTCCCCACCCCCACCCCACCACCCTCAAACCCTAACCCTAGCCACTAGTCCTAAGCTAAACTATTAAATGTAGTGTTTTTAAAAAGAAAGAGGGAGTATAAGAAAGAAACCCACCTTTTTTCCCCTTTTGGTTCCCCTTTTTTGGGCATTTGTCCTTATTTCCCTTTACTGTTCTTTCCAATGATTTTTTTTTAAAAATTTATTTTATGTAATAAGTCAAAGATTCAGAGCCTCAAAAAATTGTGCACAAGATCAGCACAAGGATCCTGGATGGCCACAGATGGGCATGGAATCTGGGTCCAGGCCATAGACAAACAAAGAGGGGGGGGGGGGGTGTGTGTGGAGGAGGGAGAGCAGGTAGCTTCCTCTTCCAAACTAAAGCTGAGGGCCAGCACAATAATGGGAGAATGGACTAGACAAGACGAGGGGAGTGAGTGAGTGAGAGCAGGAGATCCAAGATCTTTTGAGGTTGAATCCAGAAATGGCATCATTGGACCCCCATATTACTATATATGCTTGGACCCATACTCACTGGGATGGTATTGGATGAATGAAAATGGATGAAACATTACTCACATTGGATGGATGGCATTCGTTTTGTGTGAGAGAGAGAGAACCAAGCATGTTTTGCTGCTGCTGGGCCTGGGATTGTTGTCTTGTCTGTGTCTTTTACTGATGGGGATGATGATGAGGAGGGTGTTTTTTTTGGGTGATGGAGTGGGAAAAGAAAGAAAAGGCTTGCTGGTCTGCTTCCACGGGACACAGTCTGTCTGTGTGCTTCCTCTTCTTCTTCCAAGGTGCCGAGATTCCTGTGACTTCTCAGTGGTGTTTTTGGTGGGTTCCCCATTTCATTTTCCAATTAAAACATATATCAACAAAAGCAACATTTTTCTGTGGGTTTGGCTGGAAAATACTAAGTGCAATAGACCCTTTTGCCACTCACTTGTTCATATGTTCTGCTTTTTCTTTTTTGTTCCCATTAGAATGTGTGTTAAATGGAAGAAATGTTTGTAACAAATGAGCACAATCCTTAGATCTTGCTGGGAGTAAGAAAGTTCAGATCATTGTTGCCATCTTCTGATGCAAATGAAACCAATGGCTAAACCCTCAAAGTGACAGTTGTTGTGAGGATAATGAGAAAAATAAAATAAAAAAACAAACAAACAAACAAACAAAAACAAAACAAAACAAAACACAAGGTAGATGCTCAAAACAAGCTTAATGGGTAGATGAATGAAACTCGTGAATGAATGGTCACATGGATGAGCCTATTTGTGTTAATGGTATTTTTTGGTGGCAGTCACTGAAGACTGTTTTTTTTTTTTTTTTTTTTTTTTTTTGGGTTCATTTTAGTTTTTTATTTTGACCGTTTTGTTATGTTGTTAATGAAGCAAGCTTTTCCAACATTGCATGCTGCTCTAGGATTTGTGAGAAGCTTATGCAGCAAAGGAATGGGTTTGCCACAAGCCTTGCTCATTTAATAATAGGAACAGACTGACTTCCTCTCGTTCTCCATCTGGGTTGTCAGAAAAGCAGGAACATCCTTTGGTTGATTTGGTTTTTACTATATATATATATATATATATATATGCTAAACTTGTTTATTTACTTTTTTATATAATAATCCATTTTGGAATAGAGGAGGAAACCAGACCTTGAGGAACATCCAAAACTAAACAGCAGCACCTCATCATGGAGATGAATCTATTGGGTTGGCTAACAGATGAAAGGAATCCCAGCATCATACAGAGAGGGGGGCCATCTGATGGGGACATCATCCTCATCTCCCCCCCCCCCACTGTATGTGTTTGCTGAAATGCAATCTACAAAAAAAATTAAACCCTAAAACTAATAGAAGAAAAAAAACTTACTGTCCTTTTCAAGCTTTCCATGGAGGCACTAACTCACATCCAATTGTTTGTTGGGTTTGAACCAGAAGAATAGAAGGTACAATTGTGGAATTCAGGGGAAAATTAAAAAGAAGCATTAACAAACAAACCCACAACCTAAGAAACAATGGAATAGAAAAGAGAGAAAAAATTAAAATAAAAGGTAGGATAAGCTGTATCATGATTCCACCTACAAAACACACACTAATGCCATGAACATGACAAGATAATGATGGAACAGTAATTGTAAACTGAGTGAAATATGCCAGTTCTCCACCCACGAACAACAAGCTGGCAAACAAATGAAAACGACAATAACGAATGAAGTATGCGATGGATGAACGTTTTCTTCCGTTCGATGTGAAAGGGGGGGGGATTTTGGAGGGAAGAGAAAGTAAAAGGGGAGGGGGTGTGGAAGTGGGGCAAAGGGTTAGGTCCGGCAAGTTGGCTCTCCTTGCCCGTGTGGAGACGGAATCAAAGCCAAAAGCAATCGTGCTAAAGCTCTGTCCCAGGCGGAGGACCCCAGCCCGTGTTTTCACCGGGCCACCCGCCGCCCCTCCTAGAACCTAACCTCGATACCCGGATACGATACCCGCCCTTATTCCCGCTCTGCAGCTATTCAATTCCTATCCCCCCCTTCCAAAATGCAGCAAACCCTAATTTAACTTTTTCTATCAGGGACTCGAAATTCTTATTAAGCCAGTTTGTGTGCGCCAGTTTGTTTAACACCAGTTTCGCGTCTGCGCTGCTGTTTCTGAATCTCCGACAGATCATTGGTTCAAGGATTACGTGGAATAAGTTGGAGCCGAAAATTAGATCTGCGAGAACCATTACGAATATAATGGGGAGCGATCAGGAATGCACATATATATTTATTTGAACCCTAGTTCAACTCACCAGATGGGGGGAATAAAAGCTGACGAATGGAAAGGAGTCCTTGGTCATGGGGAGATTCCAGGCCGGGTGTCCTAATTGGGAATAACCGGCGCGGGTCGTGGACTCGGTGGGAAGGTGCTAGTTGGGAGGACCTGGGCTGGCTGGCTGGCTGTGTAGGGGAGGGAGAGGAAGACCGTGGTGCTCGCTCGCAACTTCTTCGCAGACGTAATTTCAGATCGCGAGAGACGGAGAGTATTCGTGCGATTATCAGAGCATTTTGCTGAGAGTTTGGTTTTCTGTAATATCATTGGAGGGCGGATTCAGAGGTGGCTGTGGAAAGCACTTTGGGGCGGAAGTCGTGGTGGTAGAGGTTGAGGAGAGAGAGAAAGAGAGGAAGGGAGGGGAGGGGGGGAGTTTGTTTGCTACTGGTTAATGAGTGATGCCGTGTCATGTTATTTGCGCTGATCGACGCGATGCGGTGAGTCAGGGAGAGGTGGCTTTTGTGCTGGCAAAGGAGGGGAAGAGTCGGGACAGGACGTGGTAATTTATTTTTATTTTTATTTTCTTTTCGTTCCGGTGAGTTTGTGGTGGTTAGTAAGTTTCTCGCGGGATGGTACACGATGCATTGTTGAGTGACGGGGGTGACGAGAATGTTTGTTTGTTTGTTTGCTTGTTTGTTTGATAATTTATTCTGGCATTTACTTTTGAGGTTGGAGGAGAGGGGCAGGTTGAGTGATTTCGTCGTGGTTTAAGAAAAAAATATTTTTCCGCCGTGTCGTTGGTGGGTTTTGTTGTCGTGTGGAAGAAAAGAGAGTGGGTGATTGATTGCCGGGTCGGTGTGTCATGTGGAGAATGCGCTCATTGTGCTTTCGTTGTGCGTTCACGAGTATGGGAAGTAGTGATTACATTATTTGTGATTGTTACGAAGGAAATTCTCGGGGAAATGTAGTCTTTGCGTTTTGTTACTAGAGGCTGGAATTTTACTTTTTGTAGTTTGTACCGGTTTATGCTCACACGTACGCTGTGCCCGAGAGAGAGATAGAAAGAGAGAGAGAGAGAGAGAGAGAGAGCGAGATCTTCGTTCTTTTCTCTTCTTCTCTTCGTGTTGCGCCTTTATAAAGAGGCGGCTGGTGGAGATTCGTTTTTGTCTTTTCACAGTGAGCTTTATGGCCGAATGCGTGGCCTGTAATAGGGAGGCGATTTCCGAAAACGCTCAAAGTAGCTTGTAGTTGTGTCGAGACCAGAGGTTTGGAGCTGGGGAAGTAGAAGTAGACCTGGTAACAGTTTTAACGAACTGTGGAGGATTCTGGGAGACGATGTGTTTTTTTCCTCTCCTTATCCTGCCAAGACTTTGAGCGAACTGGAAGATTCCTTTCAAAGAAGGTTTAGACTACGACGCTAGATAATTTCCAAGGTTTCCTTGTCTACGGTGACGTATACTTGAGGTTTCGGTTTCGCTCTGAGTTTGCGCTTGTTGGGAGGTGCGTTTGCTATACCTTCTACTTCCTCCTGAGAGTAGTGCGTGACCCTTTGTTCATTTCGTTATCTCCAATGCTATGGATAGAATTGCACTGATTTGTGCCCTAGCCTGGCTGCTTGGTTGCAGCGAGTTACTCTTCTCGGAGGACTTTGTGACTCACATGGCCTTGTTTTTTCAATACAGAGAATCCGTCAACATGTTGGCTGGCCCGATGCCTCTCAACAATGCACCGACTATGACCTCAAGCAGGAGTTGGCCTTATTTTGATCCGGAGTATGATACCATGAGCTCTATCATCGACCCCCCAAAGTGAGTGCATGGGTGCGCTTTGGGCTCCTGAGTCGGTTCTTCTCGCGTTTAGATGGTCCAGTTACACAATTACAATTTCACTGTCATCCTGATACGGAAACTCTCTCCCTTGTTCTCGCAGGGTTGTGATTGATAATGAATCTGAGAAGAATGCCACTCTTGTCAAGGTATTTAGCCAGACTACCTGTTCCAGTAGATTAGCGGTGCTCAAGGTAGCAGAATCTTGAAGTTTCTACTCTTTCTCTATCTCTGGACTAATACACCTCCAAGTCGCGAAATCTCGAGTGTTTTTACAGCTCATAGCTTAATTGTGAAATTCATTCATGTTTTAAAGATTCTAAGGTTAAATTATCTCCTACACCTTGGGTGTGCAATATGTCATACTCAAGCCATTCAAAGTGGATCGGATTCCGTTTAGCTTTGTGTAGTGAGGCCTCTAATACCAATAATAAACACTCCACATGTCTATGATTGAGACATTCTCGGGATTCTAGCCCCAGGGTTGTGCAGTACTTATATCACGCGTGAAGTCTCCTTAAGTAAACTACCCATGAGAATGTATTTACGGAGGGGCGTTTGTATAGAAGCGAAATTTTGGAAAGTGCGGAATCTGCTTTCAAACCCCCTCATGGTTTACAGAAATGAATGTGTATGCAGGTCAGCAGTCAGAACAAACATGGAACTCTGCTTGAAGTCGTCCAAGAACTCATGGATATGGACCTAACAATATCGAAAGCTTATATTTCTTCCGATGGAGGCTGGTTTTTGGATGGTGAGTCAGTGTATAATCCACCAAGACAAGTTCTGGTCATGATCTTTTTCACAACGTCAGTTATTACTTCGATAAGGTGTCTTTGGAGAATCTCACTCTCACATCATCTATCGCGTGTACTGTCTGCAGTATTTCATGTAACCGACCAGCAGGGATGTAAAATTCGTGACGAAAAACTCATCGGAAATATCCAAAAGGTCAGTCTTAAGATATATATTTTGTATAGACCATTGGCTTTTCTTCAATCAATTAAATGTACAGTTAAAATTACGATATCTTTTTTTTAATAGGTAACTTTTGTGTAGTGCAGGCCCTTTCGTTACAGAAGAAGAAATGGACAGCTGCATTCCAAAAGTGCCCCGGGAGATCCATTGGTATTCAGACCATCTCTGAACACACAGCGATAGAGCTCACTGGGACAGATAGACCCGGTTTGCTTTCTGAGGTTTCAGCTGTCTTGGCTGAAATGTACTGTCGAGTGAATGCTGCAGAAGTCTGGACTCACAGGCGTCGAGTTGCCTGCGTCATATACGTAACAGACGAGGACACCTTAGGGCCTATTGAAAACGTTAGAAAATTGGAAAGATTGTTAGAGAAACTTAAGCCTATCATGCAAGGATATGATAATGAGAAGATTGCCCGGTCGGTTGTAGCAGAGAGCTTCACTCACGTGGAAAGACGTCTGCACCAGCTTATGCTCGCTGATCACGATTCTGATTCATCAGATTTGCAGAACCAACCAACCGACGAGAAACTGAAAAATCCGGAAATCACAGTTGAGATTGGGAGTGAGATGAATTATTCAGTTGTTAAAATACAATGCCCAGATAGACCAAAGCTATTGTTCGATACCGTATGCACTTTGACGGATTTGAAATACGTTGTCTCTCATGCTACAATTTACCCTTCTGGTCCGTATGCTGTTCAGGTAACTTATCAGTTTCAACAATCTTATAGGTTTGTTAGGTTTAACAGTATGTTAGTGAGTTGTTTTTGTTAAACCTTTAAAGAATTCGATTGCAGGGCAAGACTTTGTTGCAATGTTCGTATGCAAAGAGTGCTCTTCCACAATTTGAATTTGTCTCTATTTGGAATATTGTGAATGTGCAGGAGTATCATATTCGTAAAATGGATGGTCATACTCTTGACGAGGAAGCCAAATCGAAAGTGAAAAAGTGCTTGGAGGCGGCCATTGAGCGTCGATCTTCTGAAGTAAGAGTCGATGAAGTCCTTGTGGTCAGCTTTTGTGGGATATGTATTACTGGATAGTGCCCCTGCCCCTTGCAGTTTGTGTTAAGTACGTTGCCTTTAGTCCAGGGCACATCTTTTTGTTTACAGGTGTATTTGGATGCAATGTTTTAGATTTCAATTGATCGACCAATATCTTATACAGCTCTTAAAAATGCATTCGCAGGGCTTGCGGCTAGATCTCTGCACAAGCGACCGGCCAGGACTTTTGACTGATGTGACCCGAATCTTCCGTGAAAATGGTCTCTCCGTTACAAGAGCTGATGTTTCCACGCAAGGCGATAAGGCTGTGAACACCTTTTACGTCACTGATGTGAATGGTCATCCTGTCGACATGAAAACAGTGGATGCCATCCGTAAAGATAATCCGTTGTTGGGGGTTCACGCGGTACCATTAGCTTCTGAAGTCGGTCGTGCACTGGACGTCTCTCCGTTTTCCAAGTTTATAAAAACATCGGAACGCATTCTGCAAGGTCTCGGCTGGAGGGCTTAAATTAACTACGAACGCCATAAACTATCATCATCTCCAACATGAAATTCAATGCAACTCCATTCCACTCGTGGACAAGAACGCTTCTGAATGAAGATCTTTACCAGCGTCTACGACGTATGTTGATGACTGTAACCTGCTCAACCTCTCTAAAGCCCACTGGTCATTCCCTGCCAATATCTCTTGCACTGCTGCTTGAAGATTCAGAGAATCCTTGGTGGTGCACGGACTCCACTTGCTCTCATTCAGGAAACATCCCTCCGATTGCGGGACCATCTTAAGTCAGGAGGTCCGGCGAATGTTTAAAGCCCTGCAGAAGTAGGTACGCAAAATTTCTTGGTCATCAGGTGGCACGATCATGAAAGCTTTAGATGATCGGCTCCAGCTTGCATGAAGGTAAATACACCCGCACTAACTCTTCTATGACTAGGGTGGACAGCTCTACTGCAGCCTTGTACTATGTTAGGGTGCACTCATTTTCCTTTCTGTGTCCATGCACATCCTTGTAGATACGGGGATCATGCACTCAATACTTTTCTGTAGATTCTAGGTGCCCTTCACATCTATTCCCATTCTTCAGCATCTCCAGCATGTACCTGTATATATTTACTAATCCTGCACTTTAGAATAGTACCAAGAGTCATGTAAAATCATAGATGCTCCATTGGGCAATTGCTGATCCTGAACATTCTTTCGTCTTCGTAAATATTGGCCGTGTGGAACTCCTTACTCTTGTGTAAATATGTAAATGAATAATCTGTGGTGTTACTCATTTCAATCGATTCTTGTATCGGCTGCAAGTTTCGAATGTGCTTTTTAATTTTTATGCATATGAAGTTAAGCTTTGTTTTCGGATCCTTTTCCACCTGTTTTGTTCAACGGCTTCTGTATGACCCTATTGCTGAGTGATACGTGCAATATTTTAAACGATGTTAGGAGCCGCATTTTTCACAGTAGTACATTTAATTCTTCTGTGATCCATGTAGAGCCCCATAGAAAATATCTAGTACCCGAGGTTTACATCTCTTTTAAACGTCATTTTGTTAACAACTTCAATTGTAGTGTTCAAGACTGTATGTACTCAATTACTTAAGTGTTACATGTAATTTGTATAATTTTTAGCACTCTGTTGGTTGTGTGAAAGACGGTGCCTGGCGAACAGAGCTATGTATTCGTAACAAGCAGCTGTGAGCTAAATGCGCCAATTTACCATACCCTCACTTGACCTCATCGCATTCACCTCGCCTCCTAAACTTGCACTGCAGTAGTTACGCCAGCTGGCGCTATCTAGAAAATATCTCCAGGCTCCATGAACGTTGGCTTGAAGGTTGAAGCTGGTTTCGAATGTGGTTACAACCACCGAAGTAGGAAAATTTGCTTTGAGCCGGTAGTTCTAACTCATATTCCTCTGTGCAGCTTGCAAACCTCTGATATCAGGAGACGCATTTCAGGAAGCTTTCTTTCGTTCATTCATTCTTGTCAGATGGTAAAAAAGTTAGAAAAGTACATTGGATGAGTTCAAGATCAGAAGAACCTGCTTGGACCATGACCGGCAATCACAAGCGATAAGCGTGCTCAGCAATTCACTCAGTAAACCTGGATTATCAAATGCCCCTGGAGACGCAACGGTTAAAATCACATCCAACCAAAGTTTTACATGTCTCGGATACAGTCACAGCCAAGCCACGTAACACGTACTGTAACGGGATATTTATGCCATCTGTGAAACCCCCAGTCTCCATTTCAACTCTTGAATTCAAGTTCATGATACTGACACCATTAAACCTCCAACCCCCAATTCCTTCCATGAAGAAACTCCTGCTAATGCTGGTTTTTTGTAGTCACAGATGTTGTAATGTTGCTAAGGAACTAGAGATGAGTTGGGCAACAGAAGGTGGAAGCATCCCACAATTGCGACGAAGGCAAGCAGCGTAATCTGCTTTGTCGCTTCAAGGGATGCGAACTTGAAGACCTCGCGGCGCTTGGAAGCGACAAGCAAAAGCAGTCATGCATTTCTCGCTTCACTAGCTATTTGTCAATCGGCTGCACTGTTTTGAACCTGATGATAAGGATAATTCCTCTGTATTAGCGGATGAAGAGAGGTAGGCCGCCACTACTGTAGTTCGTCTTTGCCCTGCTGCTTTCGCATCAGTAATCGACAGCGGTGCTTTCGATTTGAACAGTGAAGGGGGTGAATAACAAATGCCGCTCCGTTTAAGAACGTAAGAACAACAATTCTTCCTTCGATTCGAAAAAGCGCCCTCGACCACCCAAAAACAATCCCATATTTTTATTTTTGTTTTTAGAGTATGTTACTTCAAAAATTGTACAAGATTATCACCTGACGGTGTGGTGCACACGCTGCCAGTCTAATAGATCTGGAGAGAAGCCACCAGAAAGGTCTCCACTTGAGTCGTGGTGGATGCCACGTAGTTTTACGAGCATGTAGGATGGTGTATTATTCGTTTTATGAAAGACAACGGGAAGTTAGTCGATCACTTTGAAACCCTATTATACTACTGGACACAAATGTTGTGATTTCTCCAGCTCGTATGTTCATCTGCTGCTTTGACGATTACGTAGCCAGCTGAATTTGCACACCGTGTTCCTGGCCTTTTAAGATGAGCTCGGTGCTTTTGCCTTCTTGATTGATCGCGAGAGATATCGGCACCAGTGGAGCAAGTTGTTTGATGGTTTGGGGCATTGAAGCGAGAGGCGCAGGTGCAGGATTAGTTACTGAAAGTGTAGTGGGACTAGAATTATTGAGGCTTTAATTGGTGCTTCGCTCCTGTTTGAAATTTGTTCATTTTTCTCAGGACCTACGATTATTCTGGTTTCTGAATGAGGTTGGTTTAGTGGAACCCACATTTTATTGCGTCGGTGGATAACACCGTGAGGAATTGAAGGAATTTTGCTTACTAGCGGAAGAGCAATTTAGGATATGGACACGTGCCCGAGCTGTTTCCCGGTTCTTTAGTTTAGAGGTACTATTTCACCAGGAACTTTGCTTTTGGGCAATTTACATACAAATTCTGTCGGCCAACTATTTTTGTGTAATCCTAATCTTTGTTTCCTGTCGCAGGTTTTATTTTTTGAAATTAATTAGGTCATGTAACGTTCATGTAGGTAGTACTTCATTTATGAGGCTGCAAAACCTGATCATGAACGTTAGCGCATGATGCGTTGCCAACAGATTTGCGTCAAATACCGCAAGCATTCGAGGCTAGCTTCTTTGTTTTACCACAATGTCAGGGGATCACAATCAAGATGTACAGAAGCTCTTAAGGCATTTAAAGCGTGGATTGTTACACAGTTCCCCTTCTTCAGGTCAGCGGCTTACGAAGCCTCTACGCTTATTCTAAAAACTTCTCTTGAAAAATTAGTCTTACTGAAAGTTACTCAAAATACCCAAATACCTTCCACCCTCAAAATTTCCTCCATAATCTACGTCTTCTTCATATTAAATTTAGTTGAATTGCATACCAGGCTTCAGGAGACAACGGCCAGAACTTCTTGAAAATTACATGGGAGGAGCGGTGACGTCCCCTTGTACTCCTGCGCGACCAGTGAGAGAGGTGACGAGCACGGAACAATCGGCGACATCTCCATTGGGGATGCCTTCTTTACGCACAAGTAATGGCTTCTTCAAGTCTAGTTTCGCTAGAATAAAGCAGATCTTGGTTTTGTTAGCTATACTGATGTTGGGAAATTTTGCAGTGGGGCCATGTTCTGACAAAATTAGGTTATGCCGGAGCTAGTAGTTGGTTTTCAATTGTATTGAACTCTGTGCAGCACCAGAAAATGAAAAGCTCCCTGTCTTCAACAAGCTTGGCGTAGGACGGAGAGGCAGTGAAGTATCCCCAGGCGTGTTCTACGGCTCGGTCGTAGGTAAACCTGCACATCGTCCTCCTCAACTTATCCGCCTTCTCAATGAGATCCAGAGTGACCTTTCTTCACAAATCACTCCAAATTCAAGGTACTTGATTTCACTAGATTTTATGACATGGTACTAACAGGACTTTCTTTGTAGAAAGCTGAACTGAAGCTATGACTGTATTGATTTCTGCTCTAGAACGTTAACTATGATGTGTTGCACTATTTGCAGGCATGCTATCTGGGCAACGTTTCCACGGCAGGATCAAGCACTTCAATTCGCCGACAGTCACGGCAGCCAGAATCTTGCGGTCTTTCAGTATCAGGATCATTTAACTGGACAGAGGCGATTTCTCACTACCACGTATAACGAGTTTTGGCGAAGGTTGTTTGCTTTATATGACCTTTTACGCGATATGTTTTAAATGCTTGTTGTTTGTGTGAGCAAAAAAAGTTACTAAACGATGACATCTCGGGAGACAGGTACAGCCAAATGCGCACAGGGTGGAAGCACCATTATGAGATCATTCGTCAGGTATGATCAACTCTCATCATCTTCTTGGACTTTCTCTGTTAAGATTATCTCCACTAAAATTAGTACTGATCTTTAGGAGGGAGTTACTTGAACTCATGAGGTGAAAGTTTGATAGTAAGCTTTGGGTTTCATTTGGCAGGGCAGGCCTTGTCATCTCTACTTCGATCTAGAATTTAACCTTCCTGACAACGTAGATGCAAATGGGGAAGCTATGGTAGACACATTGCTTTTAGTTACTAGTCAAACTCTTCTTGACGTCTTCGGCATCTGTTATGATCCATCCTGGACCTTGGAGCTCGATTCATCCACAGCAGGTACAAAGTGAGCAGGACTGTAACTCTCTTAAATACCAATTTCAGCATATTCAATGCAAGCGCTCTTTCTACTTGTGTCGAATATCTTTGAATAGTTTACAATAATCTGCCACAATGTCGCCAGTGCAAATTCGCATCTGTTTTACTCTATAGGCAGTGCATGGAGAGTGTCATCCTTGTTTCTCATTATAGACTTAGTGTATGTACATTACTCTTAGCAACACTGTTGTGATAAGCAGGACTGTCGTTTTGGTTTTTTCCTTTTTGTGTGGTAGTGCACGAAGTTGACTGTCTGACGAAATTCTGCTCTGCCTATGTAGATGGACTAGACTCGATTTTTTTGGTACCAGAAGGCTGTTAGAAGTCTCATTATGAACTTGAATAATACCTGAAAATTATTTTTGTTGCGTTTGCAGAAAAGTTCTCCCGACACCTAATTATCCATATTCCTGGAGCTGCATTCAAAGACAATTCACATGCTGGCGCGTTTGTGGGTGAGGTGAGTTTGAGCTCTGATTGTTAATCTTCCTTATCCTGGTAAAGTATCTGCAAGTTACCAGAACGCCGTGGACATTCCCGTTATGACAGAAAATATCTTATTTATATCAGCTAGCCTGATACGGTCAGATGAATAATCAATTTCCATAACTAAGTGACGTATTCCGCAATTTTCAAGAATTGCGATGTCTGTAGTTAGTTAAGGCATTAGATCAACAAGGCTCATTACTTCTGCTATCAGCTGAGGCCAGGGCAATTTTGTTGAGTGTGTTAGTTATTCTTTCAATTTGAAGGTTGAAGCCTTGCTCGCTGGACTGTTCATGTTATTGACTCTTACGAAAGTAACAGTTTTCTTCTCTTCTGAAATTTGACTGCTTTACAGATCTGTAAGAGAAGCAATGAATTGAGGGAAAGCGATGATGAAATTTGCAAAATGTTTGTCCTCCAAGGCGACTCCCGGGCTGCTCACCAAGCACATATCTTTGTAGATGTGGCAGTCTACTCACGAAATCGAGCCTTCAGATTGCCTTTCTCTAGCAAGGCTGGGAAAATCTCATTTCTCCTGCCCACATCTCGCTTCAGTGCTTCCAAGTTGGTAAGTCTGTTTCAAATACCTGGCATCCCTTATTTCTATTTTGAACTCTTTTCAATACATAAATCATTATGTTAGGTATGTAGTAGTTTTACTTCAAGATGTTGAAAGGTCCGAATGCCTGAAATCGACTATAAAACCTCATTAGACGTACGTGAGTTACCTCCTGAATCCTCATGAAATGTCAATAAGCTTTGAAATACTTAGATCCTGGAACTTGTTGCCTGTTGCTCATTGTATTAACGTGTTACTGATGTAACAGAGCGAGAGGGAAGTCTTTATGAATTCCTTGATTTGCAAGGTGGATGAAGGATGCAAGCAACTTCTTACATTCAGCAATGAGGTTCTACTCAAATACCTCGAGTTCTGAGCTTCACTTCTATATTTCAATTCTGTTTGCAGAAGAGTAAGCATTATTTGAAATTTAAGGAGTATGAAGTATGCTTTGCTTCGTAGTTAAATTATTTTTCAGCTTTATTCTTCTATTATGTGATTGGTTTGGACGTTCTTGTAAACAGAAACCATGTCCGGGAGGTGTTGTGGACTTTGATGTGTGGAAAGCTAATCCAGTGAACCAATCAAGTGAAGGACCGAGCAGTAACTATGGGAAGTCTCCTTTTCCTTTGCTGGAAGTTTTTATTGAGGCCATTGCCCGCATTGGGGACATCCAAGGTATGTAGTGCTCAAACCTACCACGCAATAAAGATTCATAAGAATGCTTAAGATATCAGAGACTTCATTGTGCATGAGGATTGCAACACTTGTTTAGTCCAAACCTCAACGAACTATTGTTGTCTTCAAAGTGTCAACTATTTTCATTTATGAATATTTTGCAGGAAAGATTCGCAGTTGGTACCATTTCGCAGATCATGGGGTAGTTGTCTACAACATATCTGGGAACCGATTCTGCGAGAATATTGGAAGGCCACATAAGAGCAATAATGGTTGGTACTTGAGAAATCAATCGTTGCTGCTAGTTTTTGTCCAAAACTGGAAGTTGACTTTCACTCCTGTCTAGTGCACTGATGAGTGGGATGAATGTGTGGCTGGTGAACTGCAGTTATGTACATCGTCGATTTCCGAACAGCAGGTTACTACCAAAAGTGCCATGATCCTGATTGTCGAGGTAAGCAAAGTTGCCGACTTAATTTTTGTATTATCTAGCGTGAACTCATTGTTTTTCGTTTTTCTTGTTCATAGCATTGATTGAGGTTCGTCCATTAATCTTTACAAGATTAGTCAATTTGGCTGACAAAATATTGACGAATATTTAATATTTTCACTTTAGGTGAAGAGTGGTCATCTAAAGTTGGTGCTTTGCTAAACCAGGGTACCAGTCGCCATTGAGGCCAATACCACGCAACACTATTCCTCCGGAGTTTCCACTATCTACAGCGGGAGTAATTGAACTCAACGATACTTTAAGATCAGAAGAAATGGAAACGCAGGATCGCCTTGATTGTGATGAGTGGGAGGACGAAACTTGGTGGGGAGAGGTGGTGTCATCATTGGCTAGCATCGAGTGCACATCGCAAAGATCCACGTTCAGCAACCAGGTCAATACAGAACCTAAGCAGGCTCTCCAGGGTTAGATTTTTTATCACAGAAACCAGCATCATTGTCACCTTCTTAAAAATGCATTATGAATCGCTCTTTTTAAAGATCATAGTCAAAACGTGAGTAAATCTCTTGCATATCAACTTTTGGATAGAAGAGCGAGTTCTTCTGAATAGTTCAACTACAAAATACGAAGTTTCTTGTGTGTTCTTCAGTCTCCTAATTCGAAAATCTATCTCTTCTGTTGTGGTGCCAGAGCCAGAATCAAACCAGTATGGATGATCCCTGCGATACCCTTCATGAAGAAAATAATGAGGATCAGTACATTTCATCTATTAACTATGCCAAACCAACCTGGGACGAAGATGATGAGTGGTGGGATGCAGTGGAGCGCGAGGCAGCACAGTTAGAAATGAATACATCAATTCGCAAACTTCCTAGTTGGTCTCCCTAAAAATATTTGATTAACTGGACCTTGATGTTAAGTGGTTAGCAGATGAAGTGCATTTCCTATGATGCTACCGGAATCTGGAAGGCATGGAATTGAGACGTAAACTCTATGCGGTGCAGATCATGGGATCGACGACTGATGCAACCTCTAGAATGTGTTCTAGAATTTTGATAAGTGTGCAATGTGCAGTGATGGTTGTTTATGTTGGAACTGGGTGCTTTTAGTCGAGTGCTGGTGCCCCCAGGAGGTTGCAAATTCATCTTTTTGTAGTTAGAACTGACTACACACAGTTTCAAGAGAAGAATTCAGTTCTTGTGACGAGCTAGACCGATGAACAAGTGAACATGTGGTTGGATCCATCTTATTCAAATTAAACGTACTTATTAGGGGGTCTGGAAATAGTGTAGATTTAATTATTGCAAGCAGCTGCCAAAGTCATGACAAAAAAATGGAGATGATTAGATGGAATTGTATAGCAGATTGTAAAATATCTTTTTTTTTGATAGGGTTGGTAGTTTAGTGAAAGATTTTAGGGTTGTGCAGATCTTTTGCATTGTGTTTGTTGTGTTAAGATTATGGATGCATCATGACTTATTTTTATTTATTTATTTATTTTTGGTTTGTTTTTATGTATTTATTTATTTTTCTTCTTTAGATTTTGTACACATTATTTTTACCAAAAAGAATTTTTTTCATGCATGCAAGTCATTGACTTTAACATGCAAGTCATTGACTTTAACATGCAAGTCATTGACTTTCAAACATGGCCTTTTTAGGTGATATTTCACATATTGATGCAAGCTCAAAGTATCTCATGATATTTCAAAATATTACTTGATACTTCACCAAATCACCTACCTAGTAAGATGGATGATTTTGAAATCTAAATATCAAAAGAAGGATGGTTCAAATATCAAAAATCATGTTGCTTGCTTCAACTTTCTTTCTTTTTTGACTCCTCACTACACTATCTACTACCATGCCTTGGTGTTTTGAAAATCAACAAATCCTTTAAGATTTAGAAATGTTGTCCATTTCTACAATTGATGAGGAATTTGATGAATTGTTTGAAGAACATTATTAGCAGGTTGATAACAAGTTTCAAGACAATTTCTTTGAATTTCATGATGCATAGGAACTTGCAATGGTTCATGGCATAATCAACAAGTCTTGTTTCATGTTCATTAACATCTTATATCTAAATTGTGCAATTTAGTTTTGAATTATTTTATAAATAAACTTAATGCCAAGTTTTTCCAACAACAATAACATTGCGAGAGGGCTTTCAAATGGTGATTTCATCCATCAAACACTACTCCATTTTTAAAAATAGAAGCCATTTCTACAAACTAATATTGCTTGACAATTGGCTTTAGCACTACGGCATTTTAGATCAAACGGCAATAGAACTAGCATTAGAAGATTAAGGACTTATGGTATTGACAATGGCATTGTGTGCTTTTTTTTATTAATGAGGTGATTCAAGCCATTTTGTCACTCCAATAGTAATATCTATGGTAGCCATATACTACCCAAAGGCTTCAAATTAGCCAATCTTTCAACTTATTTGGCTTTAAACATTGCATTGGATTTGCTCACAAGACACCATTCTTCTTAAGGTAGCATTGAAAGAATGATGGAGACACATTCTTTATTAGAAAGAATAAATATTCTATGAATGCGTATATTGTTTATGGCCTTGATTTCTATATTGTCAATCAAATCACTAACTAGCTTGCATCTTATATAGATGCAATAATGTTCATGAAGATAGAAATATTTAAAAACCTCATAAATTTTGTTTAATCCTAGACATTACTTGCTGGTAGATTTAGTCTATAATATGATACAGATGGACATTCTTGGCTACAAGTCTCTAACCACCAAATGGTTGATCAACCATTTTGTTTAGCTAAAGCACAAGTTGCAAATGAATATTGCATTGAGATCTTAAAAGATAAGTGGGTTTTGCTTAAAGAAATTTGTATCCAATTCAATCAAATAAAAGATATGAAATGCATTGTGGATTGGATCTTTGCTTGTTGTATTTTTCATAATATACTGCCTCATTTGGACAATATGAGGTTGACTATATTGACTAAGATTGGCCAAGAGCCATTAGAAAATTCTACTATCATGTTAAAAGAGGCAATTCTCTTCAAAGAAATGATTTAAAACAAAGCCATGGCATTCAATTATATATTGGGTGTTTTATCAATGTATGATTCAAACTAGAAGATTGTAATCAGGTTTGCTATTGAGTCTTTAGCCATCAAGATTTAGTTTATCTTTATGTGGTGTTCTTTTTGTATTATGAAAGTGAAAATAAGTATAATAGTTTTGGATCTTATTGTAACTTTTGTCTTCTTTGTATTGTTGTGAAATACATTGTGAAACCAAGGCCTCTAAAATCTTATTTTTGAAGCATCCAAGATTGTAAAAAATAAATTAATATATATATTTTTTAAAAAAAAAACAATACAAAATGGACAAGCAAAGCTTAGCTCCTTCTATATGGCTACTATACCTCATATATGCTAGAAATATATGATAGTGATAACTTTTGTATTAATACCCTATATTTAGCTTATTAAATGTGTGAAAGCACAAGGAATAAGTAATATAAGAGAAGTGCTATATTTTGGGTGATTTTGATATAGAAGCAATGTTGTGGGTAGAACAAAATAGAAAGTGTAATAGGGTGTCATTTACATGATGTTTTTGAGAGATTTTATCAACTTACATACACCTCACTTCCCTCCATCTCCTTCTCCTATCATCTTTTTTCAATACAATATCTTATCGTATTTTGAATGGTGCTGCATCAATTAACAAAAATTGATGTTGTAGAGTGCCTTAGAAGATTTTTCAAAGGGCTATCACTAGTGAGATATTATTTTAAACTTTGCTTAATTAATTTAGTTGTGATGGTAATTTTTTAATTTATAATTGTCTTTTGATGCAAGTAGAGTTGATTCTCTACATCTTATAGCTTCTATTTTTTAATTCTTCATTGGATTTGCAACACAATATCCTTAAATAATTTCTTTGTCTTGTAAATTCTATGCAGTGTTATGATCCATCAATTGAGAGCAAGAATAATGAAAAAAATAGGGGACACTGCAATAAAGTATAAATATAATTGCTAGTCTTGAATTAAAGCAACTACGTCATAGAGACATATCTATCTATCTTGAGTCAAAGTGAATTCTTCATAGAACTAGGTTATTTTGCCCTTGGTTAAGGTATCTATGTTTTAACAAGGGACCTCAAGGAATATCAATATTTTTTTGGGACAAGATTTGCAACCTATGTTAGGAACTTCATCTTAAAGAAGATCAATAAAGTTTTATGTTATTTGTTAAGATTGAATTCTAACGATTTATCTATCTTGGTTGAATTATGTTCTTCAAGTATTTGACTTTTGTGGAGAAATATACTAGTTTTTAAGACTTTGCAAGGAGCAAAATCTTTAAATTGAGTCAAGTGAATCAATTTTGTAATTGATCAAGAAATAAAATTTATTATCGAAATTGACTCAAAATGTATTATCAAAATTTGTATAGAACTATAAAAACTATGTATTTATTTATTTATTTATTTATTTATTTTCTTCTAAATTTTGAATTTTATATAGGAAAAGATATAAGGCTAGAAATTTATAAGATCGGCTATTTTGCAAGAAATGAAATGTATTATCTCTAAAATTTTATAAGAATATATATCAAGTCTCAAGTTCTAGATGCTATGGCCTATATAATAAGTGAACATGACAAAACGTGTTGAGTTCCACTCTCTTATGCAATAATTCGTGAGAATATCATCTCTAGAATTCAATGCCTCCAAAACCTTATATTTGAGGCTTATAAAACTTAAGCCATCTAGACCCCTCACATTTTCTTCTTTATTTCTTTCCATGCTAATTCTACATGATTAAATTCGGACCAATGTATTAGGTTTTAGGATTGACAATGGAGCAACTTCATAAAATAAATTCTAAAATTTAAGACATGATTTATAAACTATAATTTAATTTATAAACCAATTTTTTTATTAATATGCTTTCCTCAAAAGGGCTATAATTTATTAAATTTCTTGTATATTCTTTCTTTAAATTAATTGAGCTTAGACTGGATCAAAAAACTTGTCTTTATTATTATGTTTTTGAATCATCTTCTTTTCATCTTACTCTAAAGCCAATTTCTCTCTTTCATATTCCATTTTATTATTTTTCAAGCTTTCTTTCATTTCTAGCTCTTTTTATAAGGAAGTTTTAACTCTCTCACTATTTTGATTTAATAGAATCAAAAGCTTTCATATTATGGAAATTTTTAGTTATGATGACTCTGCAAATGCATTGGCTATTGTGCAATGCTGCTTTGAATATATATATTTTTGCTTTGAAATGAACGGTTAATTCTTCTTTTTTGGAATCATAGTGGTAATGTCGCCAAGCAATGGATGTCTTATGGAAGGTGATGCTAGTGATAAAGATAGAAAATAAATAAAATTAAAAAAGAACAAGAAATTATGCTCATTTTTATACACCTTTTCTAGTTTATTAAGTTTGTCTTACAATTAAGCCTCCTATATATTCTCAAGTAGTAATTTCTTAGGCAATAAGTTCAAATCAGGTGACAATAATGGTGAATTGATAATCGATACTACTATAAAATCTTGCAATGACATTGGCAAGATTGTATTTGTTATTATGGTGGAATCCCTCTTATAAAAAATGTCACGTTTGGCCTCATCTAGTATAAAGTATGCATCCTTACAAATGATAGATAAGCATCTTCCAACTTTACAAATATTATGTATATACCTTGCCTCTAGTTCTTCTCATCAATGCTAATAATGGTATGAATTGACTAATCATATGCAGCCAAAAATTTTGCTTTAAAAGTATGCAATTAATTAAACATATTAGCCACTAAAAGATAAAACTTGTCCTTAAATGCCTTGTTTTCTTGAGCAACCAGCTATACTAAAGCTCTAGTCTTAATTTTTTACTTTCTACATACCTTTGTCTTTGTTAAGGACATAATTCTTGAAGAAAGAAATCCTTAATACACTCTTGTGTAACTCAAAAGAACTAATAAGTCACTTATAAATGATATAGTATTAAACTAAAATGACTATTTCCAAAGATAAGAAGATAAGAAAGTCTTGAAACAAGATTAAAGACTAGAAAGGCGTTGACAAGTATAAAGAAGGTATGAGTCATCAAATTTATTCATTAGTTATTTTATGATAAAAAAATACATTTAGAGTGATTAATATATAGTATATAATGAATAGTATAGAAATTCTTAGACAAATAGAAAATTAGAATATTAGTTGTAGAAATGGAGTTTTAGTAAATCTTGGAGGCAATTGTCTTAGTTGGTTTAGTATTTTTACTTATTATTAAGTATCAAGGATTATTTATTAAGATTAATATTTAAATTAGTCTTATATTTATATCTATTACTAATAAAAATTAATAAAATTTAATTAATAA